TCAATGAATTGCCCAGTAACAAAAACAAAACCAGTTGATTGACTGGAAGTCCACATATCCAATGTCAGGCATATTCGCCCTGGAATTCCCTCAATGAACTTTTGAAGATTCTGTTTCTCCCTCAAGAATATTGCTACACAATCCCCTTGTACAATGTTGAAGCTGACCATATCAAAACGAGGCTGAAGATTCTGGACAAAGGAGACAAATCCTGGATGTTCAACCATGTGAAGTGGATAATCATGCATGATTATCATCTTAGCAATCTCATGCCGGCAACGATCCTGATCAAAGATGAGATACGGTGAGCTAGAGGTCCTGTAACGCCTTTTTGGTTGGTGTTCAGTACCAACATCAGTTCCACCACTCTTCGGCATATATGGGGACAACTGATTCTTCTCCTGCTGACGCAAAACAACAGGACAAGTCCCTTTAGCAATATGGCGCTTCAGGTGGCTTGTCCCAGCAACCTTAGAACCAGTACTGTATGCAAATGATTGCTTGCACACTTTACAATACGCCCTCCTACAGCCAGCACCAACAGTTTCAATAGTAAAGTGCTCCCAGACTATAGACTTCTTCTTCCGACGCTTATTAGGTTGGGTATCAGGAGTTTCTTGCTGTGAATTAGGGACCTCCGTGCTGAGTGGCTGTGTATTAACCAGCTCCATCCCAACAGCATGAGAGTTTACAAGTTCACCCCCATGAACATGCGAATTTCCATGTTCTACCCCAAGTGGTTGCAAATGAACTGGCTCTAGATTACCATGCTGAAAATGCACATGCTCTGCATTGACTGGCTGGGAATGCACAAACTCAGAGGCAATAGGTTGCGAATGCACAATATCTGAACTAAGAGGCTGGGAATACACAAGATCTGCAGTTCCAGGCTGGGAATGAACCATCTCCATAGTGACCGGATGCGAAAGCACATGCTCAGCACCAACAGACTGTGGATGCATATCCTGAGAACAGACTGGTGGTGGATAAACAACCTCCTCGCCAAGCGGCTCAGGGTGAGCAAGCTCGGTACTCACATGTTCTTCACCAGTAGCATGTTGATCAACTTGTTCCCCCATGTCCATGTCCATTGGCTCTGGTGCAACTCGTTCTGGTTTCACAGTCACTGGATGCTCTGCTTGTGAATTTGCAAACTCTGCCTCTCTTGGCTGCGCATCAGCTTCTTCTGTATCAATCATTTCGTTGTTTTCATCAATGGAATCAAGAGGCTGAGTATACACGAGATCTGCACTGCCAGGATGAGGATGAACCACCTCTGTGTTGACTGGGTCCGGATGAACAAGCTCAGCAGAAACTGTCTGTGGTTGAACAAATTCCGAAGGCTGTGATTGCACATGCTCCATGCTGACAGGCTGCGAATGCATTTCTTCTACACTCTCAGGCTGTGAATGGACATGCTCTGAGTTGACTAATTGTGGATGCCCATCCTCTGAAGAGACTGGTGGTGTTTGTAAGACATCCTCACCAAGCGGCTCAGGATGAGCAAGCTCATTGTTCACATGTTCTGACTCAGCCTGTTTACCAGCACTCTGAGGATCAACTTGTTCACCAATAGGCTGCGAGTTAGCAACCTCCTTATCCACACGCTCTGGTTCAGCTCGCTCTGGCTTTACCTTCACAGAATTTTCAGCTCCAGGCAGTGCATCAGCCTGTTGTGAATCTACCATTTCGTTGTTTTCATCAGTGGTCGTCATAACTCAAATGAAGCCAAAAACTGCAGAATGTACAATAACGAGATAGTTTGAGCAAAAATTCTGGCATTTAAAGTATTATAACTAGCATAAACTAACAAAACAGATACACTGAAAACAACATTGTCAAACTATTCTATCTTATAAAAGCTTATATTCTACAAGTTCCAAAAATGCTCATAAGAAATACCAAGAAGCCCTCAAAAGTTCTAAAATCTGAATATAATCCCTTTTACTTCACTGTATAATTGCAATTGATAGTTCATTACAATTTACCTCCCAATTCCGAAACAACAAACAATGATCTTTGAAGGTGCACATAACTACTATTACTACTACAACAACAACAACGCCTAAGTTCCAAAATGATTTGAGGTCCACTAACATGAATCGTCAAATAAGAAACCATCCAATAAGGTGCACATAACCAAAAAAAAACACCACAAAACCTCAAAATTCAAGTTTCACTATGCAAATTAAGCCCCTCGCACCTCAATTTGCATCCAGTATCCTTTAATTAATCAAAATCCCAGTCTATAAACCTTCACTGATAGCAAGCAATGTATACTTAAAACCTCCACAAACAACACCAAAAACCCATAAAATCAATTGCAACAACCCACAATTCTCAATATTTATTTCATCAAACGCAAAAATAAACTAGAATATAATCAATATGTTCTTCCAATTCCTACAACCCCAAACCCACCAGCAATTAATGTCATAAATACAGATGAAACAAACAAACAACAACATACATAACAGAATAACCAAAATAAATCAAAGTTAAACCCTTTGAATCACAAAAACAAAAGCCCAGAATTAACCCGCCAATAGATTCAAATTCGATTAAATTTGATAGAATACAATTAAACAATAGAAGAGAAGGAGAAAGAAATTGAACACCTTTAAACATAATAATGGGTAAATTACAAAATCAAAAGGATCGAAGAATTCGATCTAAAAAAACTGGGCTCAACAAAAAATCAAACGAAGAAGACCCAACAACCAAAATCAATAAAAAGGTGGGAGAAAAGAGAGAAATTGAATTGAATACCTTTAAAAAAATTAATGGGTAAATCACGAAATCAAAAGGGGTTTCAGAATTCGATCTAAAACTGGGCTCATCAGACAAATCAAACGAAGACCCAAAAACCAAAAGAAGTCAAATCAATAGAAAGAGGAGAAAGAAATAGAATTGAATACCTTTAAAAAAAATGAAATGGGTAAATCACTAAATCAAAAGGGGTTGAAGAATTCGATCAGAAACTGGGCTGATGAAACAGATTGAAATCGAACGAAGCCCACACTCGGAGGAGAGAGAAGAAGAGAGAGAATTGGAAATACGGCTGGATTTGGTTTTGGGTGTTTTAGGGTAAGTGGGTAAATTGAAGGAGGGGTCAAGAAGGTGGGATTGGACGGTTAAGATGTGTTTATTGATTTTGTGATTATCTCATTCATTCAATTGCATGGGCTTGGCCCCTTCAACAATTGGGAAATTTTGTGCTACTAATAATAGATAAAGTCCAATGCCAACTAGAAGTAGTAGGAAAAGATCCAATATAAAAATACTTCTATATGTGGAGTAAGTAGGAAAGAGGAAATACGGCAATATAACTGATAGCTGAGGGTTTGTTTGACATTGTTGTGGTTTTCTTTTTTTGGTTTTTTGTTTTTTAAAAGTATACGATATATGTCCCATAATAAATAAAAATTATTTACACGTATTAAAATCATGATAATTTTGAAAACTGACAACAAAAAAGTAATACCTTTTTCTTGTTTCCTGTTTTTGGTTTTCAAAAAAATAGGAAATTGAAAATCAAAAATGATGTCTAACAAGCCCTGAAGCACGAGATCGGTTTAAAAACTCTATTCTGTTAGGGGATTAATTCAATTAAAAGGTTAAGGTGATAGTTTAAGGCTAAGATTGGTTTATAAACACTATCACGCCTCTTCTACCAAAAGCTTAGATGATATTTGAAGGTAGGGCCGGTTTGTATACTTTATCATACCCCCTCATACGAGAGTTCGCTAAAGCTTAAAATGTGGATGTAGCTTGGGTCTCCTCATACACCGTGTAAAATACTTTCCACTGAAAATGATGGGTGGATGAGATTTGAATCGTGACCTTTTTATCACGTTAGCTCTTGATACCATGTTAAAAGAAGGTCAACTTAACCAAAATCTTAAATTAAACTGATAGTTGAAGGACAAGATCAGTACAAATACTCTATCAAAAATAATTATACATATGGGGTTAGTGGAAAAAATAAATAGAGAATATATTAATTATACTAGTAGGGTTATTGGGAAAGAGGATTAATAAAATAATAGTGGGTCATTACCAATTTATGAAATATTATCAAATAGATGTAAAAGTAAGGTGTTACGATTATTAGAAAACGTATTGATATTAAACCAGAAGGAAACCATGTGATACATGTTTTTTATTTTTGTAATTTTTTTAATCTAATATTTTATATGAAAAATATTGTGTTTATTTGTTTCTTTTTACTTATAAAATTTTACATGACTATGCACAAATTTAACAATCGGAAGAACAAGCCAACAAAAGAAGAGGAGGAGAAAGAGCAAGCCATGAACAACAAAGCGGCGAGGAGATATAGGGTTTTTGGAGGAGAGAAAAAGTTATACATGCATATGAGATTATGATAATAATATGGTTAAGGAAAATTTTATTTTTTTGAGAAGAGAGAAATTAATAATACGTAGGGAGAAATGGGTGAAGTAAACTCAATCGGTTTGAATTGTGTTACATGGACTACTAGATGAAGCCCGTGCGATGCACGGTTTGTTAGTATTTTTTTAAAAAAATATTTTTCATATTATGTGATTTTTGTTATTATATAAGCTTTAATATATTAGATAAAATTCCTAATCTCAAAAGATAATATTTTGTATTTAATTAATTTAAACTTTAGTATCTTATTCGTCAATTTTGCTTACGTGACATTTGAATTATTTAATTGTAAAAGAAATTAATAATCTTTTATTTAATTGGCTACAACTTAAATTTATAATCTTACATGGCGCGCTGAAAAAATTAAATCCTACGTGGCTCTCTAAAAACTCGGGGAAAAACTCCCCTTTATATATATATATATTAGATTATATTATATTATATGGTTGGACCATTTATATTATATGGTTGAATTTAAATTATATAGTTGATTAGTTTTATGATATCATTGATATGTGAAATGGTCCAATTTGGGTGTGGTTTTTGAAGGTATTTTTAACTTTACTATTACAAAAAGAAAATGAATGTTTGATTTGGGAAATTGCAAGTCCGCAGGTCCAGATGGAGTTACGGCAGAATTTTTAAAAGTTCATTGGCCCACGGTGGGTGCTTCGGTGGTTGCAGCTGTACAGAGTTTCTTTCTATCGGGGTTCCTTCTTAAAGAATGGAATCATTCACTCCTGGTCATGATTCCAAAGATTGCTACTCCTTTGGAGGTTTCCCACCTTCGGCCTATTAGCCTTTGTAATACAATCTACAAATGTGCTTCTAAGTGCTTGGTTGCTAGAAACCGTCCGTATTTGCCTGGGTTAATCTCGGATTCTCAACATGCCTTTGTCCAAGGGAGGGTTATTTCAGATAATATTCTAATGTCCCATGAATTAATGGAGAAAATCAATTCTTCCAAGACTGGTACGAATTGGCTTGCTGCACTCAAGATCGATATGAGTAAAAGCTTATGACAGAGTTCACTGGAGTTCCTTTTACGGGTGCTTCAAGCTTGGGTTCCCAGCCAGATGGCTCCAAATGATTCACCAGTGCATTTCCATAGTCTCCTATAAATCTCTAATCAATGGTAATATTTCTGAGGCTTTTAAGCCTAACTGTGGCCTCCGTCAGGGGGATCAGTTATCCCCTTACCTCTTTCTATTCTGCATGGATGTTCTTTCCAGAATGCTACACTTGGGTCAGGATTTGCATTTGTTTCAAGGAATAAAAATCTCTAGGTCAAGTCCTGTTATTTCCCACCTTTTCTTTGCTGACGATGCGATGGTCTTCTTCAGAGCGTGTGCTCCTTCTTATACGAATATTATAGAAATTATTCGTCGCTTTACTAAGGTTTCGGGTCAACAGCTAAATCTCAATAAGTCTCTGATTAAATTCAGTCCTAACACTACTACGCTGGCTCAGGATGAATTTAAAGCGATTTTCCGTATGATACAAGTTCAAGGGTTTGATCATCATCTGGGATCCCCCATTGATTTCATGGAAAAGAAGAAAGATTGCTTCCAATTTCTTGTCGACAAAATTGTTGGCCGCATAACGACGCTCAATGCTGTCAGACTCTTGCAGTCACAAAATTTAATCTTCAGTAACTCCATCTTGGTGGCCATGGCTTCTCATCTCCTCTCATGCTTTGAAATCCCAACCTCAATTACTGGGAAAATCGATAGCTTATTATTGAAATTTTTCTGGTCCCACTCCGGAATTCAGGGAATGCATTGGGTAGGGAAAAGGAAAAGGAAGATGCATCTTCCTCGAGGAATGGGTGGGTTAGGAATTCGGTGTATCTCAACTCTAAATAAAGCTCTTCTTATGAAGCAAGTTTGGAGAATTGTTACCCACCCTCAGCTGCTCATCTCCAAAGTTTATTCTGCTCGTGCTCGCTTCTTGTCGCCAACTCCTTCTCAGGAAAGACGCTACTCAGGTCGACAGTCCTACGGTCTTCGCGGTCTGCTTCATGCGGATGCTCTTTTGTCAACGGGGTGCAATTGGAAGGTCGGCAATGGCAATTCCATTCTAGCCGGAAGTTCAAATTGGGTAAATGGTAAATCGCCTACCTTCCACCCAGGGGTCCTCCTCGACACTGCAAAGGATTGGACTGTTAATTTATTCATTCATCCTCAGACCCTCACTTGGGATGTGGACAAAGTACATCAGTATTTTATGCCGGCGGATGCTTCCACAATTCTTGCCATGGAATTTCCAGCTTTGCAGAAGGAGGACTTCCGCTTTTGGGCAAGCACTTTGTCAGGGAATTACACGGTTAAGACAGGTTATGCAATGCTCACTCAGCCGCTTACTTCTTATTCAGTAAGTCCGTTTTGGAAAATCCTTTGGTCCCTGCAGTTACAGCCAAAGTGGAAACTATTTTTATGGAAGTTATTCCACAACGGTCTAGCGTCAAAAGTGAGCTTCAACGCAGAGGGGTTCCCATACAGGATGTGTCCTGTGATCAATGCAGTACACAGCAGGAAGATTTCAACCATCTATTCCGAGATTGCACTATTGCAAGAACAGCTTGGAGGAGTGGTGCCTTGGGCATCCATTCAGAATTACATGGACACCTTTCTCTTTCAGATTAGATCCAAGACTATATCCGACTTTTCATTAGTCAGGATGGACTTTTCATTCCCAGTATTAGCACCTTTGTTGGTACTCTATGGGGTCTTTGGTTATTTAGGAATAATAGGGTTTTCAATCCTGACACTTCTATCACAAGACCCTTTGATCTGCAACTAGTGGATATTCTTCACTCTTATACTATCTATATGGACGTGGACACAGGGAGGGAGCTTTCTCTCTCTCCTGCTGATCTCCCGGGTTTGCCCCCGCCTGGGTTTCATGTAGCCCATTTAGGGCACAACCACTCAGGCTCATCATTCTTAACGATTTAGGTAGATGGTTCTTGGTTCAAAGACACACAACAAGCAGGAATGGGTTGGTGTCTCGACAATGCAGATCCTCTGGATGATAGGATTGTTGGTGGGAGTAATTTTGGGTTTTTCTCCTCTTCTCTTCACTCGGAAGCCTTAGCCTGTTACTATGCCTTGCAATGGGCTTCAAATGCAGGCATTCAATCGTTTCATCTGTTTACAGATTCTTACAATCTGGTCACTCTTCTGCGCGGCGATGGACGAGGGGATATCCGGTATTTATGGCTGGTGCAACGAATCCAATGGGTAGGGTCTACCTTCCACCAGTGTAGTATTTATAAAGCTGATCGGGCACGCGTTCACAGGGCGCACCAAATTGCAGGGGAAGATGCTGTCCATCTCATTTGCTTTAGCAGTAATTTGTTTTAGGTTCTGTCCTTTTATCCTTTGTCAAAAAAAAAAAAAATGAATGAATTTATGTGTATTTTTTTATGGTGGACTAATACAATAGGTCAATAGCCCATCCTTTTTAGAGTAATGTTATGTACTAGTACTTGTTTATGTAAGTAGGTTGGGTGCTTATTAAGTATTTCTAATTGATAAGGGGCCCTTGGTTTGGGACTTTGGTGAACAAAGTCCAATTTTGGGGAGATATAGGCTGCATATAACCCAATTTTGGGGAGCAATCATTGCTGATATGCGCTGTGTACCCTGTGTTGGTATAAGGTCATGGCTAGTTGGCTACTTATGGCTTGGGACTTTGGTGTATACTTGCACATCACTAAGAGAATATTTAAATAAAATAAAATCATTAGCTGCAAATATGGTTGTGAGTCGTGTTATGTATCATGTCCAGGTGCTTCTGGACTAATTAAGTCTAACCCACAAGTTACGTGTTATGCCAAAATTTTCAAAAGAATAGTCCATGCACAACCTAAGTTCACATATCATCACTTGAACGTGTCATGCTTGCATGCCTAAGTCAAATTACACCATTTTAACGTGTTTTGTCATACTAGACAATGATGTATCTTATCATACTTCCCTCAGAAAAAGACGCTTTAAGCTTGACTCAAAACTCATCTTATGCTTTATATGTGTCCCTTAAAGTTTGAGTTTGTCCCTTATAGCCAAAATTTAAATCCCAAAATTATCAGCTCATTTACTTTTTTTTGGAAGGAATCATCTCATGTGCATTTAAATACTTTTTTTTTTTTTTTTGAAACCACATTTAAGTACTCTCTAATTTATAACAATTTATGCAAATATAAATTTCGTTTTTCTAAATACGATTTTTTTAATTCTCGTGAAAAATTACTCAGACCGGTTGTACAGGGAATATCTTTCTACCCCTTTGTATCTATCTGGCCATTCACTTTTAAGATGCACCCTTTTCTCTCCGCCATTGAAGCGTACTCGAAATTCTCCATTGAAGTGGCTTATGAGCTTTCTCTCCTCCACTGGAAGTACCTTCTCAAGTAAGCTCTTTTTTTTTTCTTTTCTTTTTTCCTCTCATATTTCTTACTTGATTTATAATTCAAATAATCGAATATCAATTTCACAATCTAGGCTTTAGCTTCACTATCGTGAATTTATTCGTCTGTATGATCAAGTTAGGGTTCTTTTTAGACAGACTACTGAACTTTTGATTGCATATTCTGAATACATGAAATATTTTATCAAGCAATTTTGTTGCTAGAATTTTCTATGTGCAATTTACGTTTAGAATTGTATGCCATTTTTGAGCCTAAATTGATAATTGAGTCAAATTTGGTTGCTAATGTGTTGCATGATTTTGTTTATATTTCTTTAATATTAGGATGGAATTACGTGTTTGAATATAATTTCTTTGATTTTGAGGTCATATTGAATCATATAATGGTTTATATGTTATATTTGGTGATCAATTTGCTAGCTGAGAAAAATGCTGTTCATTTTATATTATAAATACTCTATATGTTGTATGTAAGCTCTTATTGATTTAGGGGGGAAGGCGGGTGGCAATGCTTTCTCTCATTATCCAGTGTCAGTTGAAGCTTGGACTAGTTTTATCGAGCATTTTCTGAGCATGACTTGATGTTGAGTTTACATCGATCCTTATTCGATTAGTAAGCCTGGAACTTATTTCCTGTTGAATTGGATTTGCTCCTACACTATTTGGCTAATAGTGTCACCTCCCAGTTTCTTCATTGGGTTTGTAAGATGGAAGGTAATTAGGTAATTATGTGGGTTCGGCTGCCCATGATATGAGAGCTAGAGGTATGATGGCCATGATACATCACAAGTTGTTGATTGTTGAATTGATCCAAGTTAAAACAGTAATAACCCCAATGCTAAATTGGTTTTCTCATGTTTTCATTTATTGTTTTATTTGATGTTTGAATAAAAAAAGACTTTATTACAACCCTAGAAATTATTTGTCTCGTAATTAGATATTTTCTTCCATGAGTTATCAATACAGAATATAAATAACTTATGATGAATTATTCAGTTGTATGCAGAATTTCCCTAATTTTTTTAGCCAGCACAGAATGGAATCTTGTGATGGCTACTTTGAAATTTTTAGAAACTTGGGTTTCCTGATAATGTTCAACTATTGATTGAATAGTTAACTTGATAAGGCTAGCATTATCCGCAGGCCTGATGTGCATAGCTTTAATGACCAAAGTTGGTTGAGTTCAAATTAAAAGAGTAATGCCTGGATTTTTTAGCATACTGGATGGGGTGAAATTATAATTAGTTGAATAAGAAAATATTAGGAACTCTTAAGGACTGGATTTGGATAGGATGGCAGCACAAACTAGTCGGTCTTCTTTCAATGAATGTAATTCATTAGCATACTGGATGCCAATTGAAAATAAATGTTAAAACCTCATAGAAATGAATGTGTTTGTGAAATGTACACCCAATTTGCTTCTTTAGTGCTAGCAAGAGTGGAACATCTGGAATGTGAGATACATTAGCCCCTATTGAATTGGTATAATGTGTGAGTCAACTGTTAAAAAAGAACTGAGAATCTGAAGGTCTAAATTATGTTATGATTGATCCTCTGAGCGCAAATATGGTCAAGTGAATTTGTATACATACTTATAGCTGTATATTGTACTCTTATAAGAAGTAACCCATGGTTTTGATCCAGCCTTTTGCTGTTAATTCCTATGAATTACGAGCTATCGTTCTTGTTTTGTGAAGCTTGATGTTCTGTAATTTCATGCATGATATAATTAGATAGCCATTTCAGAGTCAGGAGTAGGCTAAGATGTTTTTTTTTTTTTTTGGGTCCCCTGCTTTAAAAAGTGGTTCTTTTTGCTGTTGTTGTATTGCTACTGATCAGATCTAATTCATGGTCGCTGATATTCTGTCCCTTTTTAGTCTTAATATGTTTGACAGATTGAAATCTATATCCTTTTGTTGTTTGACGAATTCTTTTAATCTTTCCGTGATCATGCGCAGGTTATATGATCTCCACTAATTCTTTGTCACAGAGACTGGGTGCCCTTTATGCCCTCTATTGTCTCTACGAGACACAGCCATTCAAGCCTCCCTTCAAGATTTGTCTCTCTCTTGGTAAGTAACTGCTTTTGCATATGAGTAATTTTACTTTTTCCACTTCCTTTTTGAACCTTAAATGAAAGACAGAGTTTTCATATTAGATGTATGTTTATCAAGTCACAGCTGAAGAATTTACCTTTGATTGATTACTCTTGCCTTTCCCCCTTCTTTCTTCAGGTGGCTTATAAATAATTTTCAGGAAAATAATACTCTTCATAATTGCTTTCCCCTGAAGTGACTGGGGAAATAGTTGTCTTCAATGGCTCTCATCTTAGGTATTGATAGAGTATAAAACATATTCCTGGCCTCAACCATCAGCTTAAGCTTTTGGTTGAGTTGGTCCACTAGCATGGTATCAGAGCCAACGTGACATAAAGGTCACGGGTTCGAATCTCATCCACCCCTCCTTCAAGGTGGAATTAATTCACGCCAGGTATGGGTGGGCATGTGTTGCATCCACATTTCATGCCCAAAGGGTCTTTCATGTGAGGGAGAGTGAGAGTATAAAACAGATTCCTGGGCCTCAACCATCAGCTTAAGCTTTTGGTTGAGTTGGTCCACTAACAGGTATGAATATGGATTTGCAGAACTCATGCAATCTAATATAACGGAAATATATTGGATTTGTTTAATCTATTCCTTAATACACAGTACACAACATTGCACCAGCAAATTGATAAAATATAAAGTGACTAGAAAATCATAAAATTTGTCTTTACTGGCGTATTGAAAAAAATTCTTTTATTTCTCTTCCCAGAATCAATAGGCAAGTAGATGTGTTCATGTCTTGTTTGATTGATTGGCATACATCCTTTCACCCTCAACCTTTCTTTGAGATGTGACCTCCTCTTGATGGTTTTTACAGGAGAATTACGAAAACTAATAGCTCTGGTTGTAAATGCGAAAGAAAATGGAATCAAATTAGTATCTGTTTTGGTCAGAAGGATGCTAGAAAAGAATGCATTCTTGTTTGGTTTCGTCAACATAAATGATTATTCTGAGAAAGAGAGGATAAAGGAATTGGTAGATGTGCAGAATGCCTGCTTAAAGAAGATGCATGAAAAGTATGTCCGACACTCATAAGTTTAGTATTGTAGCTTTATTCAGCTTCATAACTGACCTCATCTTGCTGCTTTTCCTTTTTGTAGATTGTTGGCGAACACTAAGATTGAGCGTTATCTTCACATGGACATGGTATGCTGCGTACACCTGTGATTTTAGGTTTCTTTTTGGCTGTGTCTTATTATTTTTTTATTTTTTATTTTATTTTATTTCTAATATATCATGATATCACTGTCATATAAATTGATGCCAAGGCATATTGATAACACACACACACACACACACACTCACACACACATTGACACACACACCCATTTTACGCTATCACTATGAGACCTACTAGATATGTCTAGGCCTCTAGTGTGCCTTCTTCTCTTTCCCCTCTTTCTCCAAATTGTGATTTTGTCCTGCACTTGATATATTCAATTATGTTTTCTATGTTCTTAGCTGGTTTAGTAATTGGCTTAATCCTTAAAGTTGTTTATTTTGAATCATTTATGAACCACCTTGAGGTCATCAGTAAATTTTTTTGGCTCTAATCTTAAAAAATCTGATTCTGTTTACACTTCCGCTCTACCGTGCAAACTTGTTAGATTATAGATTAGCTTGTACTAAAGAATGTAATTACACGTACCCTGAGGAATTCTCTCTCTTCTTTGCTTCTTTTTTCTGTCATCTTTTGAACTTTCTCACAAAAGTGTTTGGTGAATTATTAATTGATACAATACACTCATCTGATGTACTCTGATCCTTTTTAATTTGGATCCGTGAAAGCAATGTTGCTGCTGATTGTGTCTTAATAGCTTGAATTTTTGGAATAGGGCATGGAACTTGACCTAGAAGTGCTCAGGAAAATGGCCAAAGAATATGAAGGAACTAAAAATCTTGCTATCAGAGGTATTCTTTGCAGTACTTTATTGCTCTTTCCTGTTGCTATTACATGGTCAGGTTTATATTTATAAAAAGTTATCTCGAGTTAGCTGTGTCTTGAGTCTCTTGACTTGAATATTTTCCCTTTTGGTTTTGTTTTACTGAACCCCATTACTGACAGCCTATTAACCAAAGATGCAACCATGCCTTAACATTAATACTCATAGGAACTATGTTCTGTGTTTTTACGCGAGTATTCTTGTTTAAATAGCGCTTATAATCTTCTTTGAATCTCAAGCTACCGCAATGGCATCATGCCCCAGGTTTACATAGTATTTTTAGCTTAGCAACCTTAGCCGTAAGCTAAATATAAAGTCAGTTTGTGAAAATGATTAATTGTGAAAGTATTCCAAATTTTGTGTTTTGACGTACATGATTCTTGATCCTCATCTTTGCTAACTTGATTTATCTTTTTTTTTTTCCTTTCTTTCTTTTTAAAGAGGCTAGTAGGGTATTCAATACCGAAAACGTAAAGCATATTGCAGAAGATAGGCTGACAATTGGAGATGAAGTGCAAAAGATAAATGAGGAGTGGGGAAATCAAAAGGAAATGTTCTCACAGTTTATAGGAACAGACCAGCATTCTGTCGTAACTCATTACCAGAGAGAAGAGAGACACCACAAGCAACTAATGCTACTTTCTGCTGCTGAACAGCAGCAAAGTGACGATGAATTACAACACACTGGTTTCATGGAGCTTCTTATGGGAAATGAATCAACATTAGTAAATGGCAATATTCTACAGGGTCCATCATCTGAGCAGCATTCGATGCCTGATGAAGAGCAAGATTATGACTTCGAGTATGCTAAGGATCTGGAAGATCAACTATTTGATTATATATTATAATTCATGTTTATGACAGTGAGAACATTGTTAATAGCTAGGTTAATATGCTTTATTGTTTCAGGGTGTAGATAATTTTACATTTGCTATGGAGTAAACATTTATTGGTGTTTACACATTTCAACTTTCAACAGTTATCTATATATAACACATGAAAACTTAGATATACAATTCTCTTTTTGTATTAAAATACTTCAGATACGTCTTGCACGCGAGGCCATGATGCTGGCCCTAAATGATGCACAATGAATCAATGATAATTTTGAGTACGTCAAATTCAATACTATAGTTATATTACTGTAATAATCTTACAGTAATGTACTGTAATAATCTTACAGTAATGTAGTAACAACAAAGTTTACATATCTGCATATCGCCTTGAAACTCAAGAATAGATCCCTTGCTATTGTGCACCTCCAACACTATAGCATACGAGGTGCAAAGGGAAAAAGAATATATTCATAGTAACTATGAAAAACACTACATAATATAAAAACTAACTTATAACTCAACCTCTACACTGTGAACCTTCTTACTGTCCTCTGGCATTTGATCCAAACTCAAAGTGACCAAACCCGAACCAGAATCGTACTCAAACTCGACTTCCTTGGATCCAACTCGGCACCTCTTGGGCCTTGTTGAAGAGTAAGCCCCAAACACCCCACAACCTTTCACCTCCATTTGGACCTTCCCTACCATTTCATCACCATGGGCAGATCCATTTTCCACTCGTGCTCCGCTCCTGACTTGGTAGATTAGCCCGTCAATGGCCCCACCAGCGTTAAACATTTGGATTAACCCAAATGGGGCAAAGCTAATGCCTGGGGCTAAGACCTTAATGGGCGTTATAGTGAACACGTCATATTCCAACACCTTAAGTGACACTGGCAGAGATACATTGTATGGCAAAGTGATAACCTCACCCGTCCTGTGACGATAGGCAGCACAATCCAAGTTCCAGTCGGTGGGGTCCACTGCGGCCTCAGTGATGAGATGGACGTCTCGGCCACGGACAACGCCTGTCAGGGCTTCGGGTCGGGTTGGATGGAAAATGTTCTTTCGCTCGGTCATACTCCATGCTGCCCCTTGGCAGTTGTACACTCCTAGCACACCAGTGTACTTGTTCATGTTCCATATCTTCAGCAAGCTGCATTTTTGTCACAACAAATTAAATGTTAGACATTGCTATTATGTATTACTCCCTCCCAAAAAAAAAAAAAAAAATTGTACCGTTTAAGAGCAACATCACAAAAGTGCCCTTTTAATTGGGGTGGAATTGAAATAGAAATGTCTGATTAATACAATCTTGAAATTGGACATGGTTTAAAGTTAATAAAAAAGGTTTAGAGTTGCCATACCTATTACCGTCTCGAGCTGGATCATTGAACAAGCAATCACGGGTGGGTCTACCAGGCATACGAGGACGGAGCACTGATCCATCAGGCAAAACAAGCTTCCTAAGCAGATCAAAGTTGTGCTTTCCAGGTGCATCACTGTAACACAAACATGGGAATAAATCAGAAACATAATCTACTAAAATTGGTTAACTAATTGTGACACAATCAGTAAGAAAAAAAGACTACAAAAGTTTTATGCACCTGACATAGATTGGTCCTCCACTGATAGCTCTAGCCGAACCATGGTATTCACCGGCAGGGTGGTCTGAATGGAACATATCCCAATCAGGTTGCATAAACTCCCCTAAGAATACACTGTTGTAAGCCACAGCTGCAATATGTATGGTGTGCGACACAGGGTCTCGTGGGTAAAAATCATCTGATGCCCTCACAATCGCTGTTTGTTTTGAGCTGTTCATGATATAAAAAGCATAACATCAGCATATAATGAACTAAAGATGAACTACTGATTTTCAAATGTATGTAACAATGATTTTTAATTAGTTTATTATTAATGCCATTACGAGAAATCTAATTTCCCCCCACTCCTAACCTTCCCCCAAATGGATGCATATGAAGGTATGTAAATAAAGCAGGCCTCATTAAATAATTAAACCCAAGTACTACTGGTAAACCACCTAAAGCAGGAAAATTTCAAATCAGAATCACCAAAAACAGAAAAAACTGTAGGATTATAGGATTGTCAACTTACCAATACAATGCATCAGTATTGTGGCTCATGCATGCAATGCAACCATTGTCTGGAAAATTTCTAGCCACGGAAGCATCAAGAGCTTGGTGGTATTGCCTAGTGAGCTCCACTCGACCACCAAACCCTCCGCCTAAGGTCTCCAAGATACACTGCACATCCACCTTAACCCCATCAATCCCCTTAGAAGCCAAGTAACTGTGCAAGTCATTATAGAATTTGTACACACTCTTTGGGTTCACTAATCCTAACCCCTGCACCTTCATAGGGTCACTCTTCCACACCGGCTCATTTTCCACAACTCCCTTAGACACATTAGGGTATTTCATCAGTGACTCATACTCCTCCATCTCCTTAACCCCAGGGCGAACTCCACCCCAATATCCTGTGATGGCGTGCCATACATACACATATTTCAACCCGTACTTTTCCTTAGCTATATTTACTATGTTCTTAATCCCAACACTAGGGTCATCCTTCTTTTGAAACTTCTCATTCTCCTTAATCCCTGTTAGTCTTGGCACAGGTTCATCCTCCTCTGAATTATCTTTATTCTCTTCAGATGAGGTTTCCTTCCGTGGGTCTACCCCGACAGACTGCCAACCATCATCAATGATCACAAACTTAGGCGGGGTCCCACCTGAGGAGAGGCTAGCCAATCCAGCTTCAACACCTTCTTGGGTGACTTCTTTATAAAATGCATCCCAAGTACACCACCCAAAGTAGTCAATAATCCCAGGCAACTTCTTTTCATGACGTTGCCTAAACGTCTTAAGATGAGATTTAACTGCCCTGATCGCTTCAAAGATGGTGGCGTAGGGATCAGTCCCTGCACTCACAAACAGAGAATGAGTAAATGAAGTCCCCTTGATCTCATCATCCCCACTCTCTAAACAAAGCTCCAATTCATCTTGTGCGTTCCCCTGTAGACAAGCCCTAAACGAACCCTCAACCAAAGGCAGGAAAACCGCATAGATGATCTGATTAGCTTCATCTCCACTGTCTGATTCAATGTGCGACCCATCCTTGGTCTCGACCAACAAAAACTGAGTTTCCAAAGGGATGTCACCACCTTTGTCACCCATTTTTTGAGCCATCCACCATAACTTAAATCGGAAGCATGCCATGAACCGAACATCTCTAAGAGTACCTAATGACACCACATGGCTGCTGCTAGGTTGGTCGAAGTCAGCCCCTATAAAAACTCCCTCAACCGGACCAGATGATGAACCTGATGTTGCTATCACATTATTGGGTACTCCAGTTAGGATGGTCCGGTCTTTTACTATAACTTTCCCGTCTGCAATTCGAACAGCTGGTGCTATAGTCATTTCCTTTTCTTTCTCTAGGCTCTCAGCCCTCTGCCAAAATGAAAAACTGAGTGAGCAAATATTAGATTCAAGGCAATCAATTTCCACGACAAATGACAAACAAAGTAACAAACTTTAACACAATAAGTGACTAGAAATAATGAAAAAACATGTTAAGTTTATTATGTTCAAATTATCTTGTGAAGAGTTATACATACAGGGAAATTGGATATAGTGCAAATTCGGGCTTATGAGCTGATAAGCTAATGCCTAGCATACAATATCTAGATTTATACGGAGTAATAAACAACAAAATCGAGATCTCAATGGGTATTTTTTGTTTCTTTAAGAAGTCGTAACCTCAAAGGTCTTTGATACCACCCTCAAGACTTTATAAACTAAGCAGCCTAAGCTAGTTAAGGTCCATTGGATAAAAAATGGTACTACTCAATACATCATACATTCATACATACAGATTTGTGCAGCTTATGGAAAATAGTTTGTTACATCATACAAGTTTGTGCAACTTATGGAAAATAGTTTGTTACGAGAATTGGTACTGAAAACGACCCCATAATCTCATGGTGCCAAATTCGTTGTTACGGTACCAGTTGGTAAAATTAGATCCGCTTGTCTAAGGCTTCAAGGCTCAATCATGGTACAAGTCCATAACAATCAAATCACGGCATTCACAAATAGGGGTGTCAATTCGGATGATCGGATCGAGTCTGATATGGTCGGGTTGGGTCGGGTAAATTTTTTAAGTTAATACATACTAAATTGTTATCTCCAAGCGAGTCCAAATCTGAATCGGTTATTTTTCAGATCGGTTTCGAGTTGGGTCGGATCGAGTTTGCTTTTGACACATCTATTCACAAGCCTTGTAATGAACCAAATGCAATAAAAAATGACTGATTACGTATAGAAGAGGTATAAACTTGTGAATCTTTACCAATTTGAAAGATCAAATGGACAAAATAAGTTATGATATGATATTATGGTTCAGGATTCAAATATTAGCTTAAAATTGACATAAAACAAGCTTAAAATTCTTGGACTAGCTTCAAATCCTAAATTAAGATGATCAAATATTAATTGAAACAGGATATCATTATGGTACAAAAATAAGGTTGTATACAAATTTATCAAAACAATCTACGTGGATAATTTTTGAAGAAGAAAAATTAGACCCACCTAGAAATAGCTTATAAAAATATCATACTACCAAAATTGTATCATGGTATATCACGTACAAGTATATGTATTTTTATGCAAATATTCTTCATCTAATAAAACCCCCAAAAAATTGGACAACAAACAATACATCTAATCATCTTATCCCTAACAAACAATTCACAACTTTCCACCTTATATCATCAATCATGTAAATGTTGAGTGTCAACTAGTTTAGACGGTTAAAGTATCGGGATCGAATTCTGCCCATATAAATAAAATATAAAATCAATCAATCTCTACATTATAACTAAAACCCAGAAAACACTCAAATAAAAACAACATGAATCATCTAGCTACATTATAACTAAAACCCAGAAAACATTAAAATAAAAACAACATGAATCATTCAGCTACATTAAGTAAAACCCAGAAAAGATTCAAACTTTAATAGATAAACAAATTTCTTACCTTGAAAGATTTAACAGAGAAAGGTTGAAGATGATTGATTGACTTTCTGGAAGATCTTAAACAATTTGAGGAGAGAAAATTTGAGTATTTCTCAGAATATTTAGGA